ATAAAAAAAAATATATTATATATATTATATATATATATATATATATAATTCAAGAGGGAAATAATGGGAAAAAAGGATATAATTTCTAGGATTTGATTTTGTTGCTAAAGCCACGTGGGGCATTCCTGGGGTGGCATTTTTTATTCCTGGAATAGCTGTGGGAACGAGCGGTGAGGGAAGCAGGGATTGATGCAGGTGTAGGTGGGGATTTCTAGAGGGTTCCACCCTCTCCCAAAGGCACAACCAGAATTCCATGCCACTGCAACAGGGAGGAATATCCTGTATTTTATGGATTTCCCCATCCTTGGAAGTGTTGCAGGCCAGGTTGGACAGGGCTTGGGGAAGGTGTTCCTGCTCCTGGTTATTCCAGGATAAATTGAATAAATGCAGTTTAAGTGCTCTTAATAAATAAGAATAAAGGTTGCCAGAATTCCAGCAGCACCGATTCCTCGGCAGTCTCTTCCTGCACATTCCCGATTCCCGACCTTCCCCTTTCCCAGGGGGAAAAGGGATGTCAAGGAAGGAGTTTGCAGCTGGGGGTACTCACACGTGTGCCTGGCCAAGGAATAGTTGGATCCGCCGCTGGTGAGGCCGAATCCCTCGGGAATCTGGCTGGAGCTGCGGGGCCGGGTCAGGAGTTTGGGGGGCTCGATCTCGGCGCCGAACTCGGCCCCGATGACCCCCAGCAGGACGATGGCCGTGGCCTGTTTGCGCCGCTCCTCGTAGGACGTGGAGACCTTCTTGGGCTGGGGGAGGCCCGAGAGACACCCTGAAAACACAAAGAACATTCCAAACGGTGCTTCCCAAAGAAAATGCAGGAATAAAGACCTTCAATCACACCAGGATTTTTAGGCATGGATGTGATTCCGGTTTAATTCTAATAAATCTCGAAATATCCCCTTCCAAACCTGCCTCCACAGGGACAAAAAATCCACCAGGAAACTGCTGAGTTTTGTTTGCTCAGCGTGGAATTTTGTCTTTGTCTAGTGATTGTTCTTGTTCACTTCAAATGCAATTTTCCTTTGGTTTTAAAAGAAGATGGATTTTTTTCAGGATAACTCCTCGGCATCCTTTTGGTTTAGGATCCATCATCACATCCAAGTTGCTGCTAAATTTTAGGATAACACCACATGCCATTAAACCAAATGGGTATTTTTATAGAGTGATATGTTATAGATGGGATTTTTAAACATCATAATTAGGAATTCTAAATAAAATGAAATATGGGTCATTAGTTTAATACAGCCCAGGGATTCTGAATTCCACTAAGCAGAAGTTGTTATTTTTTTTTTCTTTTTAATAATATCCCAAAATCTTAGAAGAAATGATTGGAATGAAACCACCCAAGTCATTTATTCTGACAAAGAAAGCTCACTTTTACCTGTATTAATTAATTAGTTATCTCTATTAATTCCCAGCATCCTAAGAAATTCCCTACCCTGTATTGTAAAAAAATAAGGAAGTTTGAATCCTTCCTGGGTGCTGAGGAGTTGGGAGGCACCACCTGGCCCGGGATGAGGCTCATCAGGCTCGGGGACTAATGAAGGGGGAATTAATGAGGGTTAATGATATCCACAAGAAAATAAGGAACTGAACTGAATTTTGGGAGCTGTGCTCAGCCAAAAGGGAGAGGAAAAAAAACCAAGGGAAAGCTTAACAATGGGAAGGGAGAGGGGGAAAAAAAAAGGAAAGGAAAAAATCAATAGCGACCGCCTTCGGAAGAAGGAGAAGAAGAAGAAGAAGGATGAAAAGGGGCTGGAACAAAGCAGGGAAGGGAAGGGTTGGAATTGTCCACCGGAGGTTTATCCCGGGTTCTCGTTGACATTGGGCTGTTCCACCTGGACAGAGAGGGCCCCATTCCCTGGGATGGGAGTTCCCAGATCCAGAATGGGATCCAAGCTCGTGCAGCCCCGGTTCCGGATCCCTGGATCCACGGATCCGTGCCCTAACGCGGAGCGGCGGCGGCGGGAGCGGAGCAGCTGCGGGAGCAGGGTCGGTGGGATGCGGATCGATGGGAATGAAAGGAAAAGCCAACACATGTGCTGCTTCCAGTAGGAAATTAAACCCCTGCCATGGCTTGGTTGAGATGGAGTTAACCCTTCGGAGAACCCGGAGCAGGGATTTGGGAGCGTCCTCCCGGAATCATGGCAGGGTTTGGGTGGGAAGGGATCGCAGGCGGGGACACTTCCCACTAGCCCAGGTTGCTCCAAGGCTCGTCCAACCCAGCCCTGGATGCTTCCAGGGATGGGGAATCCACGACCTCTCCGCGCCACGGAATCTGCACCGACAGGATTTGGACAAAACCCAACTCCTGGGAATCCACAAATCCCAGAAATTAAAACCCAACCAACCCCAAACTCAAGCAAAGCTCCAGATGGGAGTAAAACCACTTAATAAAGGGGGAAAAAAAATCCTCCCTGATATTTTTATTTTTTTGGTTTTAATTCCAATTGATGGGAATGGTTTCCCCCCAGCTAAGCTGCCAGGGGTCTTTGGGAGATTTTTCCACCGGAATAATGCCTGGAAGAATGGAAGAATTTGGTATTTTGTCCCCGCGCTGCCGCTCCCTTTAATCACGGCCGGGGCTGACAGGCAGATCCATTTTCCCGACAGGACGGTTGATCACCCTATCAGTGGGACAAAATTAATAACCTCCAAGAGGCCTGGCTGGAAAACAAACAAAAAAAAAAAAAGGATGAAAACCTTCGGGATTTGAGGTGGAAAAATCCCCATTTCAGGTGGAGGGTGTGTGCGCGCTCCCAAATATCATCCTGAATATTCCCAAATATGGAAATAAACCCCCCCAGGACTGCTCAGAGCAGACAGCACAAAGACAGGACAAAATGCTGGAGATGGAGGTGAAATATTCCCAAGTTTCTCAGGTTTAGGAGGCCGTGGGATGTTGGAAGCACGGCCACGAGGTCAGGCCGCTTCCCTCCAATTAACTCCCGTTAATTGGCTTTGCCCACTTTGGAGGGAAAATTAATTTCAGCCCAGCTTAGAATAAAAGGATTAAATGAAGTTCTCCAGGTTTTAACTGGAAGAGGCATCAATGGATTGGAATTAAGGGGAATCACTGGATTGGAATTAAGGCACGGAGCGGTTTTATGGGAGGGGCTTTCTATTTTCCAAGCAGGTGCAAACTCGGAGTATTCCCAGGCTGGAGTAGCTACTCCAGCTCGGAGGAGATCCAGAAATCCCTATGGAACCTCAAATCCAAGCCCTGGAGATCCTGATCCAACAAAACTGCGGCCGTGGCCACCGGCACGGAGAGTCCCGGAGAGCGGGACCGACCCCACCCAGCTCAGGGCTGTGGTTCCACCCCCTAATTCCCACTGGGATTTAGTCCCAGCATTCCACAGTATTATGGGAATACAGGGATAGCTGGGATTTAGTCCCAGCATTCCATAGTATTATGGGAATACAGGAATATTGGAAATGCAGAGTTGGAATGGATAAAGGGGATAAAGTGATTTGCTGAGCACAGAGGACTCGCTCCAAAGAAATCAGGAGCCAGAAATCCCAGGAACTGTGAGGAGGAAAAGGCAGGAAAAGAGGGAAAACGTTGGATCCAACCTGTGGTTCCTCATTCCCAAACCTCCTGCTGGCAAAGGACTGGGAATGCTTGGAAGTGCAGCCATTCCTGCAGCCACAGCTCCCTCCGCTGGCCCAGCACGGGAGGAGCTTCGGGAGCTGAAATTCCTGCCTGGAAGGGCCAAAAGCAGCGGGAATTTTGGGAATTTCTGCCCTCCTGGAGACACCCAGAAAGCTGGCAATGCAGGGAGTTAAGAAGCCTGTGCCTGGGAATTCTAAAATCTAGTAATTCTCATTTTTTTCCCATTTTTCTTTGTGCTGTTCCCATAATCCCTCACCTTGGGCTGCTTCCCGGAGGGAAAAATCCAGCCTGGATTTCAAATCATAAATTATATAAATATATTTATTATATTCCCAGTTCTATTCCCTGAAATAGGAAATTATATTAATATATTATATTCCAAGTTATATTCCCTAACATTATTGAAATTATTAAAATACCACCTGCTGAAATATCTGTAAAAATTAATATTATTGGAATTATTAACATACCATCTGCTGAAATATCTGACTTGTCCAAGTAAAAAAAAAGGGAATAATGCACAGAAAAATAGAATAAATCACTTCAGGAATGAATTTAAAATGACTTCAGTTAGGTGGGACTACAATAAGAAGATCTGTCAATTAATAGAATAATAATAAAAAAAATAAAATAATAACAATAAAAGCAATTCAAAATACACCCAACTTACCAAATTATAATAATTAATATAATGATACAATTAATATAATAATAAAAATTATTATAATATAATTAATATATTAAGTAATTTTATTAATTTATTTTTATTAATATAGCAATATGATAATATATATTTATTATAATAAATATATAACTAATAGAATAATAAAATAATAAAAGCAATTAATATAATAACAAATATAATAATAAATATTTATTAGATTAAGTACATATAATTAATATAAAATTAAAAATAATAAAAGCAATTAATATGATAATATAATAATACATATTTATTATAATAAATATATATATATCATTAATATATATATCATTAATATAACAATAAAGATAAAATGATAATAAAAGCAATTAAAAGGAGCATTTGAAGACAGACTCCCTAAGAGTCACCAGCAGGATATGATGTAAAAAATCAGAATAAAGTCATTATTCCTCAAGAACTATGAGCTGAACATGGGTTGTGGGACGATTTAGGGGCTCCAAAGCCATTAAAATAATAATAATAATAATAATAATAATAATAATAATAATAATAATAATAATAATAATAATATTAAAATAATAATAAGTAAAGGCTCACCCGCTGCAATATCATCATCCCCCAGGTCCTGCTCCTCCTCCTGCACTTTGCCCTCTGTGCCCACGGATTCTGGGCTGGCAGTGCCAGTCTGAGCAGCTTCTGTGGGCACTCCAGCTGCAGGGAAAGACCAAAAATAAAGACATTCCCAGTTATATTCCCTGAAATGGGAAATGACAGAAATATGTTATATTCCCAGTTATATTCCCTAATATTAGTGGAATTATTAAAATACCACCTGCTGAAATATCTGACTTCTCTGAGTTCAAAAAAAATGGGAATAACACCCCTAAATTTATAATAAATCACATGGGATAACATTTATAGAACTTTTTACCAAAATGATTTTTGTTTAATGTCAAAAATGCTAATATTAAAAAGAGGGTTAATTCTCTAAGAATGTGGATTGCAGGGAGTCTGTTCCTTTAGAGAACTGATTTCATTTATATCACTTTTCACCAAAATGATTTTTATTTCATGTCAAAAAATACTAATATTCAAAATAGAGTTAATTCCCTAAAAATGTGGCTTGCAGTGAGTCTGTTCCTTTAGAGAACTGATTTCCCAAATCAATTTGGATTTAACCAAGATTTTTTTTTTTCCAGTGGGGAAAAAAAACTCATTTCAGGAAAAATAAGCCCTTTGGGGTTAAAAGAGAGGAAAATACCCATTTTTCCTGGTTTTTTTCCCCCCTGAAAATTCCAAACCTGGAGGCCTGTTGAAGGAGCCAGAGATGCTCCAATCACCTGGAATGACCTGATCATGAATAATTCTGGATTCCCAGTGCCTTTTCCAGCAGGAAAAAAAGCTGATTTCCGGAAAAATAAGCACTTTGGGGTTAAAAGAGAGGAAAACATCCATTTTTACTGGTTTTTTACCCCTGAAAACTCCAAACCCGGAGCCCGTCGAGGGACGGCTTTGGTGAGAGTCGCTCCGCCCCCCCGGAATGGGCTGATATATTTGAATATCCTGAATAACTGCGGATTCCCAGGGGCTTTCCCCCCTGTTCTCCCTGTCTTTTGGCCGGTTTTCCCGGCCTTCCTTACGGGAGATGACGCTGTCCATGTACTGGGGCAGGTAGGGGGCCCAGGCGTCGATGGTCTCCTTGCGTCCCGCCTGCTCGATGCGCCGCAGCTCGGCCAGGAGAAGCGCCTGCGCCGCCTCCCGCACCTGCAGGGACGGCAAAAACTCACCTCATCCCATCAGAAATCCAAGCTGGAGGATGTGGGGCGGGAAAGAATGGTTTTATGAAAGGGAAGGAGAAGTGGGAGCCGGCAAACGCGGCGCGGGACCGACCTCCAAGCATCGGTCCTGCCAGCGGCGCGCCAGCATCTCCAGGAGAGGGGGGCGGAACTTCTCCAGGCCCAGCAGGTCCGGGAGCATCACACAGTGCATGGCTGCCAGCTGGCTCCAGCCTGGAAAACAGCGGGAAGAGGGATGGGAGCGACCGGAGCGAGCCGAGCGGCACGCGAATCGACTTATCCCTGGAGCACCAACACAAATAAATTATAAATAAATTATGATTATAAAGAAATGACAGCCACCTCAGGAATTATTATCCCTTTAAGGATTACATGGAATTTTCTGTCCTGACTTTCCTTGGTTTTCCACCTCAATCTGCTTTGAACCCGGGTGAATTCCTACTCTGGGTTCTGCAGAAACACCCGGAGCTCCAACTGCACAAATGCTTGGGAAATATTCCACAGGCAACAATTATTTAGTAAGAGATTAGGAGATATTTAATATTATAGCCACTGACCTGAAAAATACCTCAGGTGAACATATAAATCTACAAGTTTTAATTTCTCAGCAATTTTTAATTTCTTGGGCACAAAAATGTGAATTTTTTCACCACGGTGCTAAAGAAATTCTATCAATTTTCCTTTGAAAAAAAGGATTCAAAGGAGGAATTTCCAGTTTAAGAGATGTGTGGAAGCAGGAATTTATACACCAGTGATAAAAATCCAGATTTAAAGCAACTTGCCCACAGGGTGTTTGTGCAGGAAGATGTTTCTCACAATGGCAATAAATATTTATTAGATCAAATTATCTCCAGCACCTACCCCAAGTAGTTTAAATACATCCCAAGTCTTCCTAAAAAACACCAAAAATCAGATTTAAATGAGGGGAAACTTGAGTTTCTTTGGTTCGTTTGCTAAGAGAAAGAGCAAACCCACCCCCCTGGCAAAGGAAAACTCCTTTATAAATCAAATTAAAGTGTCCCAGCAGTGATAAAGGATTTTAGCTGAAAGGATAAATAGAAAAAGTGAGGAAGGAATACCTTCATTGACTAAGAAACAGGAATGTAAAGGAGGAGCAGTGTCAGAGTGCCCAGATTCCAGGTTAGAAGGAGCAGCAGGAGCAACTTGCAGAGCAAAAGGAGGAATAAAAAAGAGATAAAAAAAAGAGAGGCAAGTGAGGAAAAGCAGCAGAAAAATGGGTTAGTAATCGCTGGAGAAGGGAAAGAACCTTCAACTTAAATATTCCAACTGAAGGAGAAGGTGCAACTTAAAATATTCAACTGAAAAATTTCATATTCAACTTGAAAAATAATATTAAACTGAAAAAACAATGGTCAACTGAACGAGAATTCCAGGTTTTCCAAGAAGTGAGAGGTAGACATGCAGCTGAAGAGACAGTAAGAGAGACTTGGATATTTGGGAAAGATAAAAAATCCCTGGGAATAAAGTGGCAAAAATTCCCTGACAGGGAATGACTTCGTGGCAGAACCAGCACCTGGGAATGATTCTTAAAAAGGTCTTAATTGTTAATAATTTTATCTAGGTGGATATTATTAATAATTTTACCTAGGTGGATATTATTAATCACTCATAATTTTATCTAGGTGGATATCACACTACATTGCACTGCCTTTTCCTCCCATGTAATATTTGGGTGCTCAATAACCAGGTGATAAATCTGGTGTGTCAGGAGCTGGAATGATGGATCCAAAGGTTCCAAAGAATGGGATATTTTACCTTGTTTAATTTGTCCTTGGCTGGAAACGGGAGGGGGTGGTGGCTTCGCTCTGGCCAGCTCGGGGGTGCCAGGTCTGGGTGGCCTAAACACAAAATATCCATGGAGAGACAAACACAAAACACCCATGGGAAGACACATCAAAGGGTTCCTGATGGAAGACACACCCAACACACAAAATATACCCAAACCACCCAAAAGAAGATGTTAAATCCCACCTGGTGGGCCCTTTCTTCATGTGGTCGCCGATGAAGGTGGCGTTGGTCATGCTCATCAGGGTGTTGGCCAAGGAGATGACGGAGAGCAGGTGCTGGGTGGTGACGGCGCGGGACACGCCGTAGGTGCCCTTGCCCGGCCCCTCGGCGCCGGACACCTTCCCGCCCGGCTCCCCGCCTGCTCCGCCCACGGGCCGGTTGTAGCCGGGCAGCATCAGGGACATGTGGCCTCCTCTGGACACGAGGCCGAAGGACACGGAGCAGTGAGGCTTCAGCATTCCCAGGCGCTCCAGGCACAGCTCATCCAGCCCGGAGTTGAGGCCCCAGGCGTGCAGGCAGGACATGAAGAGCTTGGTCGTGTCCATGGTCAGGTTGTACTCCAGCAGGGTAAGCGGTTTGGATTTGCTGGCGCGATATTCCGGGTCGCCGTCTTCCCTCCTCTGCCTCAGCGCGTCGTCCTCGTCGTCCTCGTCATCCAGCAGGTGCTCCTTGATGTTCTCCTTGATGGTCTCCTTGACCTGCTGGAAGAGCACGGCCGCCCGTTTGCCGGTCAGGAAGGAGCCGCCCTTGTCGGAGGCGCCGGAGGCCTTCTGGAGGTTCTCCGGGGAGACGAGGGCGGCGTTGGGCCGGGACGCCTCCTCCGTCAGCAGCTGGATGATCAGGGCCTCCACGTCGAAGAACAGCACGTGGATGTCGGGGTCTGTCAGGTTGGTCTTGATGGCCTGGACCATCAGGGAATTGTGGGAGTATTTGGGTAAATTCCCCTGGAAAAAAAACAAGGGAACAAATGGAAATTTCTACGGAGAAACCCTCAAAACACAGAAATTCAACTCAGACATTTATGGATAAATAGAAGTTCTCCAGGGAAGACACGAATTCACATTTCTTTCTCCTGGATTCCACAATCCAGTCACATTCCAAGGAACAACAAAAATCCAAGCTTTTGTCATTATTATTAAACCACATGAAATATTTCAGGTTTGGAGACTGAACTACAGAATCAATTTATGCTGCTGGAGAAGAAGCTCCTCAAATTCACCCAGACACCACTTGTGGGTCATTCCACTCCTTAAGTCCATCCTCTTCCTCCTTCCCTTCCTCCCAAGGGGGGGAAAAAAAAAGGGGAAGAGGAGATAAAAGCTGAAAAAAGTCACGAAAGGACACTGGAAACCAGAAGGAATAGCAGCACCCAAGGCTGAACTCACATGTTTTTATGGAATTAGGATGGTGCTGGTGTTCCTAAGGAATGTTCTCACTAAGGGACACTTCTTTCCAAGCAGGACATAACAGCAGAAGGCAAAAAAAAAAAGGGATAAATGGGAGAAGCTGGGAGCGGAGCGGCCTCAGGGTTTAGGCTGGATATTGGGAATACTCCCTCATGGAAAGGGCAGAGGTGGAGTGCCTGAAGATCTTCCAGTTCCAACGACAGAGACTTCCAGTTACAACAACAGAGACTTCCCAGGTTTTATTCCTTTAGGGAACGGACGCTCCGGGTGCTGCCCCAGAAGCCAACTGACCTTATCGGAGGCCTCGGAAGCCAGGAGGTTGGTGGCCAAGGTCTGCAGCTTCTGGTGGGCCACGTTCTTGAGGGCGGCCAGGCTGCGGCGGGTCATGGCCTGCTTCAGGTTGACGGCGGGGTGGCTGAGGGCGTCCACGGCGGCGGGCACGGCCTCGTCACAGGCGTTCAGGATCTCCACCGCCGTGATGCCCATCACGCACCGGTCCAGGGCGCCTGCAGGGGGGGTTGGGAGAGCCTGGGTGAAACAGGAGGCCAGGCCCAGAAGAGTTAACTGGGAAATTTGGGGCCTGCTAATGATCTTGGCACATCTAAACGATCTGCGCTCGTTCTGTTCTACCTACTGGACCAAAATGTAAGAGGATGGTAAAAGAAACATATAATAGGCCTAGAGGTAATAAATTAAGATGCAGTAAGATAAAGGAGACATTTGAATAGAAGAAACAGCTCCCTCAGCCTCTCCTCATAGGACTTGTGCTCCAGTCCCTTCCCCAGCCTTGTTGCTCTTCTCTGGACCTGCTCCAGCCCCTCCAAGCCCTTCCTGAGCTGAGGGCCCAGAACTGGACACAGCACTCCAGGGGTGGCCTCACCAGTGCTGAGTCCAGGGGAAGAATCACTGCCCTGGACCTGTTGGCCACACTGTTCCTGAGCCAGGCCAGGATCCACTGGCCTTCTTGGCCACCTGAGCACACTCTGGCTCCTGTTCAGCTTCCTGTCTATCCCAACTTCCAGCTCCCTTCCTGCCTGGCTGCTCTCCAGCCCCTCTGTCCCAGCCTGGAGCTGCCGGGGGTTGTTGTGGCCCAAGTGCAGGACCCAGCACTTGGCCTGCTTGAACCTCATCCCGTTGGAATCAGCCCAACTCTCCAGCCTGTCCAGGTCACTCTGCAGAGCCCTCCTGCCCTCCAGCTCATCGACACTCCCCCCCAGCTTGGTGTCATCCAGCTCAGTGTCATCCCCCGGCTTTAACTCCGCCCTTGGAACCCTCGGCCAATCTAGATTTGCCCGGATCAAGGACGGATTCCGGGCGTGCGGGAGCTCACCGGTGTCCATCTGCCAGACGTACACGGAGCCGTCGGAGCAGCCCACCACCAGGTAGTCATCGGCGGGTCTCCACTTGATGACCTGGATGGGGAAGAGGTGGCGGGAGGCCAACATGATGCACTTCTTCTCCCGCAGGCTCAGCAGGCCCACCGAGTGGTCGCTGGCGACGGAGCAGACGCAGTGCTGCACTCGGGCCTAAATCAAAAAAAAATTTTAAAAAGTTATCTTAATCATAATGCAGAGATTGTTGGTATCAAAACCTTTTCCACAGTGAGCAAAATCAGACAAAAGGTAGTCTCCAAGCAATTAATGTCGTTTTGCTCATGAAGTTGTACTTACTCAACCATGTTATACGAGGCAAAATTGCCTTGGAAATTTACTCTTGGCAATATTTTAAATCCTTGATATAATTAAAACATGAGGAGAACAAAGCCATAAAAACCAGAATTAAGCTGTTTTTAAAATGACATAGAAATGTACTATATATACATATATATGTTATATATACTATACATACACACTTATATATAACTTAACACACACAATAAAACACCTGATATATTATATTTTATGTGCACACTACATTATTATTCCTATTACTATAATAATGACAACAGCATAATAATTAAGCTCTTTTTTTTATTATTTTTTTTTATTTTTAAGACCTTTTCCTTCAGCCCTTCCAAGCCCCGGCTCCACCTCGAGCATTCCACCCTCCACTCCCCACTCACGCTGCAGTTGTCGGGCGGCACGAGGAGCTGGGTGATCTCGCCGCCGTGCACGCAGAAGATGTGCTTCATCTCCCCCGAGAAGATGTCCCAGACGATGACGGAGAAGTCCACCCCTCCCGAGACCAGGAAGCGCTGGTCGTAGCGGGAGGACACCTGGTGAGGGTATAGCAGGCACGTCACCTTGTTCCGGTGGCCCCGCAGCGTCCGGTGGGGCGGCCAACCTGGGGATTGGGGATGAAGATTAGTATTTTTTGACATGAAATAAAAATTGTTTTGGTATAAAGTGATATAAATGAAATCAGTTCTCTGAAGGAACAGACTCACTGCAATCCATGTTCTCAGAGAATTAATTAAAAATTAAAAATTTTTAATATTAGTTTTTTTTTTTTTTACATTAAGAGGAGGCTCAGGGGAGACCTCCTCACTCTCTACAACTCCCTGACAGAAGGGGGGAGCCGGGGGGGGTTGGTCTCTTCTCCCAGGCAACCATCAGCAAGACAAGAGGGCTCGGTCTCAAGCTGTGCCAGGGGAGGTTTAGGTTGGATATCAGGAAGAATTTCTTTGCAGAGAGGGTGCTCAGCCATTGGAATGGGCTGCCCAGGGAAGTGGTGGATTCGCCGTCCCTGGAGGTGTTTAAGGACAGACTGGATGTGGCATCAGTGCCATGGGCTGGGAACCACGGCGGGGTTGGATCAAGGGCTGGACTTGATGATGTCGGAGGTCCCTTCCAACCCAACTGATTTATGATTCCACGATTCCATGATTCCATGATTCCCGGTTTTCCCGTACCCCTGCGGAGCATGTGCTCTCCCTGGAGCAGCTGGACGATGGCGGTCTGGGTGGCGGGCACGATGACCACGCTGCCGTCCTGGCGGCCGCACACCAGGCGCCCGTGGGCCGGGATGTACACGCTGGCCGTCACCCGCAGCGGCTCGCCCAGCCCGGGCACCACGCTCAGCTGGTCGATGATGCCCGCGGGGCGAGGGCTCAGCTCGTCGAAAGCTTCCTGCAGGGAGATGGAGGTGGTGCTTGGCAGGCCTGGGAAAAAAGGAAGGGGAAAAAAAAAAAGGAAGGGGTGAGGAGGGAGGAGGATTTGAGCAGCCTGGGCTAGTACATCTGGAGGAGCTTTGAGCTCCCTTCCAACCCAAAGCATTCCATGATTCTAGGCTGGAAATTAATGTTCTGGCTAAGAGGATAAAGCTAATTAAGATTTTGAGCATTGATGTAAAAATGAAGCTGCTGTAACTCTTAAATAAACCCAATTAAGATTTTGATGGTGCGTTATCAAATGATGTTACTGCAACTCTTACAGTTCAAGCCCAACGTTCTGGATATCTGAGAGAACCAGCAGGGCTTTGTCCAGCCAAAACACACCTAAAACTGTTAAAAGGTTGTTCATCGGGTACCTCTTGCACTCTCTCGCTGTTCCAGAGCGTCGGGCACGCTCCAGATGCACAATCTCCCCGAGGAGTCTCCTTGGATCAGCAGCTTGTAGGAGAACTCTCCCTGGCCACAGAAGAAGCGAGTGACTGGAGGACATATCAGGAGCTGTTAAAAAAATAAATTAATTAATTAAAAAAATCAATCAGCAACTTCAGGCCACATGCTCACCTCAACAGTTTTCACTGTGCCTTTTAAAAGCAGGCCAGAAACTCCTGCAGTCCATGAGGAAAAACTCCTGTTTTACCTGTTTCTCTGCCCTGTCCAACACGCTGTACAGCAAAGGTGGGATCAGGTTTTCCACGGCTTTCCCCACGTCCCTGCGGAACGAGTCGCTGGCTGGGAGGCAGCTGGGGGTGAGGAGGAGGAGAAAGGAGTCAAATTCCTGGGATTTACAGAGGGATTGCTGCATCAGCACGTGGATGTTGCTCCCGTCCTCGTGCTCTGATCACGAGGGGGTGAGGAAGGAGTTCAACATCAAACTGTCTCTTTAGCCAGAACAAAGATGTTTGCACATCATGAAGATGTCACAAGAGAAGGTTTGGATTTTCCTCTTGTCATTAACCTCTCCGATGCCCAATTTAAAATTTCTGGCACAGTTTCATATTTATGTGCCTATTTTCAGTTTTTTGCACTGGCCCAAGATTTCAGTGTTTTTCCCCTCCAGATGAAATAAATGGGAGTATTTAATTTTTGCCTACCTGGCTGGTAATTTATAGATGAAACTTTGTCCATCCTCTGTCCACACAATCACTTTGTCAGCTGCCACAAAGTCCCCACCAGTCCAGGTCTGACTGTTTTCACTGGGAACTGAACATAAAAGGGAATAATCCCCAGCATCAAAAACCTGGGAAGAAACAACAAAAGGGGTGTCAGGAATCTATCAGAGAACAAATTTTGGGTTTAATATTCCAGAATGATGGAATGGTTCGGGTTAGAAGGGATCTTAAAGATCCTCCAGCTCCGATCCCGTGGGTGGAGATTTAGATTAAATATCTAAATATGCATTAAATATGTAAATAGAATCACACTGAAAGGGCTTGGAGCATCTTGCTCTGAATGTTTCAGGGTAATTTAATTAAATTAGGCCCCAGGGGTTGCTGCCTTACTCTCCAGTACTTGGAGCACACGACCAGAAGCGAGCGCTGGGTGAAGGCGCAGAAGGAAATGCTCTGACAGTTCTGGCAGTAGATGGGCTTGGATTCCTCCTCAAACACAGGCGTGGTATCCTAAAACCAACCAAAACCAACACCAAAATCATTCTTTTCCTGCTCAAATCGAACTCAGACCCCACGGAATAGAGACTCTGGCATTCCCTGAGGCGCCCCACAGCTGATTTCCGAGGGAAACCCGAACGCTCGGAGCAGTTCTGATTCCATTATTCCTCCTAAGAAGATCTGCAGGAGGCACGTGGTCTCCTCTTTGGTCACTTAAGTCTCCCAGATTCCCCAGCAGGATGGATTAGTGGTGCTGATTTAGTCAGGGAATCACCTTGCAGCCAGGTAGGAAAGTGGGATAAAGCAGATTCCACTCCCGTGGAATAAACTTAAAAAAATAAGTTTATTTTTCCCTAAGTTGCTAAACATCTTTTCCAAGGGGTTTCTGGGAGGAGTTCATTTACCAGAGGTCTGAAACGTGCAGTTAATCTCAGACTTTTATTCATTAGGACACAGGGAGTTGGAGATAATCCCAAAAAAGGAATATTCCTAAAAAACTGGATCCTCTGCTCAGCAAACATTAACCCAAATCAGAACAAATAAAAAGCAGATTTGGAAAAACTGGAGATTCTCCTCCTCTAAATTTTGCAATCAGTTCTCTGGGAAGGATGAGGAGTTCCGCTGAGAATTTGGGATTCTGGGAAGGATTAGGAGTCCTGCTGGGAACTCGGGATCGCTAAAGCAAAATTCCCAAAGGTGATTTTCCAGCTGGCAAAGAGGAAGAAGAATATCTTCAGGGGGTTGAAAGGACCAGAAACAACAGGAATACAATTCAACACCCCTCCAGGAAATCCCACTAATCCAGCAGTTTACCTGGAGCCGACTGACTTCCGAGGTGATGATCCAGACTTTCAGGATGCCGGTCACGGAAACGGCCACCACGGTGTCCTCTGGGAAACACAGAAACCAGGATGAGATCCCAAGGAATTCTCCACTGAGTGCACAAATACACCCAGGAGAAACTAAAACTTCAGGCCACAAACACCCCTGGGAGCCACCAAGGCCAGGAGTGAGAAATAATCACCTTGTGTCCTGTTGGATCGGATGATGCTCATGGAGCTGATCCAGTCAGGAGAGATCTTGGATATCAGGGAATAAAGAACTTCCAGGCTGGTGGCATCCACCACCAGAATTTCGGGATAATGCCCGTGGCATAGGAGCCTCCCTTCCCGCTGCGAGCCGACTGTGAACTGATAGAACTGCCAAGACACAGAAATTATACCCCGGGTGGGACAGGAATTCCTTCATTTTTAATCCAAACCAAAATGTTTGGGATGCCCAGAGCTCTGGAATCCTTCCAGGACTGACCTGAATTCCCGTGTGCGCGCAGGCCAGTTTGGTGAACTCGATGCATCTCCCATCGTTCACATCCCACAGGCACATCTCCCTAAAAACATCAAAAAAATCTCCCTAAAACTCCAGGGAAACCAGGCCAGGCTTCCAAACATTTCAAAATCCCTCTACACTGGGAGGAACTTCATTGGAACCATTCCTTGCATATGAACTGCATAAGAAATCCTTCCCTCCTCTACCTTCTGATTAGCAAATAAAACCACTGAAAAAATAAAATGTATTTGCTGATAAATTTTTTTTTAGGGATCAAAAAAAATCCAACACAGTCCCAGCGTGGAAATACGGATAATTTGGGGACAGATTTCCATGATTTGACAGTTGTGGAGATCAAAACTGCTGGGAAACTCACCCACTCTCAGATGCACTCACTATATATTGTTTTTCACTGGAAGCTGAGGCCTTGGATAAACAAGTAACTGAGGCCGTGTGACCAAACAGTAGAGCTCGGGGATTAATCTGGGAGCAGGGAAAGAAAAGGGGAAGTCAAAATACCACTCTGAAAAACAGAAGACACATATGCCAGCTTTCTATTTTATATATTATATATCTATTAATATACACATATTTAATTAGCATACCTGTGGATATATAACCTTGAAAAAGAGTTTCTACTTAACACTGGAAAAAAAGGCAATTTGCAAACTCATGTCAACAAAATCTATAAAGTTGGTTCAGTTTGAATGAAAAAATTGACAGGGGGAAACTATTGTTGCACAAGACAAGTTCTGGATATTTATAAATAAGGGGAGACCTCCAGGAGAGCTGGAGAGGGACTTGGGACAAGGGATGGAGGGACAGGACAAGGGGAATGGCTTGGGAAGGCAGGGATAGATGGGATACGGGGAAAGAACGGCGATTCCCGAGGGGATTCTTACCTGCAGGTCCGGGCTGAGGTCCCAGAGGCAGATCTGGCCGTCGTGGCAGCCGGTGACGATGACGGTGGCGCCGTCCATGAGCAGCAGGGAGGACACGCAGTGCGTGGGGGCGCGGCGGCCCCACAGCACGATGGGCAGCACCAGGCTGTTCCCGGCCATCCCGCCCGCCGGCCTGCAACACAGTGGCACCGGGAACGTGGCACCGGGCACCGGGAAACCCACCAGAGCCAGCGTCGGGAATGCCGGATATGACAGCGACGGCATCTCCATGAGGGACCCCTCAGATCGCCCTCAGGGAGGGCCTTCACCTGCCCTCAGGGACCACATTCACCTTCCCTCAGGGAGGGCCTTCCCCTGCCCTCAGGGACCACATTCACTTTCCCTCAGGGAGGGCCTTCCCCTGCCCTCAGGGACCACATTCGCCTTCCCTCAGGGAGGGCCTTCCCCTGCCCTCAGGAAGGGCCTTCACCTTCCCTCAGGGACCACATTCACCTTCCCTCAGGGACCACATTCACCTTCCCTCAGGGACCACATTCACCTTCCCTCAGGGAGGGCCTTCACCTTCCCTCAGGGAGGGCCTTCACCTTCCCTCAGGGACCACATTCACCTGCCCTCAGGGACCACATTCACCTGCCCTCAGGGACCACATTCACCTGCCCTCAGGGAGGGCCTTCACCTTCCCTCAGGGACCACATTCACCTTCCCTCAGGGACCACATTCACCTGCCCTCAGGGACCACATTCACCTGCCCTCAGGGAGGGCCTTCCCCTGCCCTCAGGGAGGGCCTTCCCCTGCCCTCAGGGAGGGCCTTCCCCTGCCCTCAGGGACCGAACTGCGTTCCTTAAACTGTCCAGGAAAAACATATCCCCTCACACGTTTGGTAAAATTCCACAGGTTTTTTATCCATCTAGGCCCCAAACAGCACATCCCTGGGCATGTGGAGAGTTTGGCCAAAATCGCTCTTTTCGGAGTGATTTTGAACTAACAAATGTTTGAAGCCCCGGTTATTATATCTGTGATGTTACTAGATCCCTGATATCAATACATCCCTGATATCAATACATCCCTGATATTATTATATTCCTGCTATCATTCTACCCCTGCTATTCCATATCTGATATTACTGACAGCATTAAACACCTGATTGTACAGATACGCCCGTCGGAATACAGAATATCCCGGTGAAACCAGCTGTGTGAGATCCACTGACAAAGCGGATTTTGGCCGTTACCCAGCAGGAAACAGGTCCAGCCCTATCTTTATGGCAACATTTGGGATATCTTATAAAGATATTGACACAAACAACACAGGGAAATTGGAGCTGCCACGAGGCCAAAATTGTCTCGGTGGCCGGGAAGTGGAAAGAAAACAGAAATTCAAGTTGTGGCAATAAAATCCAGTTGCATTAGCATGAGATTTAAATCCCAAAACAAGCCTCTGTTGTCGGTAGCAACACTCCCAGCTCCAAGTTTTCAGAACTGACATTTTCTTATCGGCCACGAGGTTGTGTTAAATAAATAACTAAGCACTCCTGTTATGCTCTGAATGTCCCAGCTCACACCTCTGATTTAGAGGAGCACAAAGCAGGATTCACTGAAGAAATATTTTAAAATATTTTACAAACACAGCTCCCTGGAGCCTCCCACTTCACTCCACAAAACCCACATCATCCAATCACTAAGATCACAAAAAATGCCACTTCAGAACAAGGCAACTCATTCCTCGGACTCTGTTAATTAAAAATTATTTCATTGAGAGCTTGAATTTAATCAAATTAGAAATAAAAGACCTAAAAATCCAAGTATGGAATCTTTTGGAAGCTGCTCCACTGCAAGCCCCATCACCTGCCCGTGCAGTGTTAATTTGTTATGCAACGCTGGATCGATTGTTCTGTCTGGACAACCATGAATATAAATCACAAACAGAAAATCACAAATAGAAACTAATTAAAAATTTTAACCAATACAGAAAGAGCCACCATTAAAAACCCTCCTTGATTTACAGCAAAATCATCATAAAAACGGAATAAAACCAGCAATAAGGTGTCCAGATGCAACAGAACAACAAAACCACCCAAAGCAACCAAAAATACCCATTTCACTCTTTTACCACCCGATTTTGGGGAGGAAATGAACCATAAATGACTAAAACTGAGCTGAAAAATGCCAATAAACAACATAAAAGTCTCTTCCAACCCCTGATATTTCAAACCAAGGCTCTGGGGGGAGAGAGAGGGAAAAGCAGAACTACCTCTTTCCTTCTCCTTTTCTCCTGTGGTGCCTCAAGGCCTTCAGGAAAAGCTTTCTTTTGAGGAAAAACCACATCTTAATTCCCAAAGAATTCCAACTGCAGAGCTCGGCCCCTGGCAAACGGTGACTGCGGCCCCCGAGAGCACCAAAACTCCCCTTTTGTCCCAGACAGATCAATAATTTCCTTTTTTCACAGGAGCAAATCGACGCTGTCCCGCTGCCAGATGGGCCAAAAAAGCAGCCAGGGGGTTATTCCACATGAATTCCCACATCCCAGCTATTTATAACTTCGGGAAGCCACGGATTCCGGCAGAAAAGGGAACTTCAGTGGGAAAAATGGAGTTGCCACTAGCAAAGTGCTTCCTGTTAATACTTCTTCAGATTAGCAAATGAACCAAAAAAAATTAAAAATAACATCTTCATCTGATAGAATAATCGGGTGACTCTCTGAACTGCTCTGTTTAAGGCTGGGATTTAGGCAGATTTAACAGTCTGGGATCAGTTCCTTATTTGAGTGAAGGCATTAAACTGATTTTTTGAAGTGCAAGATATTAAATACTGAAGCCAAGACTCACCTAAACACCTTTATCAAGCCAAGCTGCTCTTCCCAAACACTTTTATTGCCATTAAATGAGGAATTAACATTAGGATACTTGTGGACATTAAAATAACCTGCCCAAAAATACTGCAAAATAGCATTAAATAGCACAAACCAGCTATTAATGGGCTGCTTATGCATTTTATAAAAACTCGATTATTCTAAATTTAATTACAAATTACACTTTCTATTTATCACTCGGGCACAGAGAAAAAGGACTAATTGGGGGAAGACAATTAAAACACTTCCCTGGATACGCAGGAGGTTCCACAGCAAGGCAGAGGACGAGATAATAATAATAATAATCTGAGACTCCAAACTGCAGTTAATTGACCCCTCGGAAGCCCCATCCATTAAGAACCCGGGGCTTGTTTTGGGGTGAAACTTGCTGAAATCTGGACTCCAATCCTGGGCACCTGGAGAACTGCACCCCTGGATAACTGGGCACCTGGATACCTGTGTCCCTGGATACCTGGGGCCATGGGCACCTAGATAGCTGGATACCCGTGTCTCCCTGTCCCCGGGCTCCCGCGCACGCCGTTCCCGTTATCCCCGCGTCCCGGTACCGCAGAGCCGCCGGCGGCCCCCGCAGCACCCGCGCCGGGGCCTCGCCCGGCCGCTCCCGCTGTGCCCACCCCGTTCTCCCGGCCCCGCTCCATGCCCCGTTATCCCGCTCTCACCGGCTCTCCCGGTTCCTCGTCCCGCTGTCCCGTCCCGGAGCCGCGGCCCGGGAGCGGCCCCGGCCGGGTGACACCGCCGGCTCTTACGGCACTGCCGCAAAGCGCGGTCGCCGCGCCTCACGGCAGCCGGGTCACCATGGCAACCGCCTGACCGCCCTCAGCGCGCCCGGGGAGCGGGGAATTACTCACTTGATGTGTTAAATAACGATTGCTGAAGGGCCTTGAAGTTATAACAGCCGGGAGCAGAGTCTGTCGTTCTGAGCAGGGAAAGCGCCGTTATGAGACACCCCGAAGTGACATTTACGTGTTATTAGGTAAATAATAATGTTATTATGCCTGTATTAAAAAAAAAGCAGAAGCGTCACCCCGTAACAACCAAAAAAAAAAAAAAAGTAGTGAATAACAAATTACGAAAAATTTTATGTAGGCAGAACTTCCCTCTTATAGCTCCCCGCTCGTGCCCTAAATTGACCGGCGCGCCCCTCAGCTGCCTGTAACCAAAATGGCCGAAGCAGCGTCGCTCCCGCCCCTCAGCGCCCCTACCCAACATGGCGGCCGGCGGATAACCTGCCCCTCTCTGCCCTGCCCTAAGATGGCGGCACTGCCCCTACCCAAAATGGCGCCGGTGGCGTCATTCGTCACTCTCTGCCCTGCCCTAAGATAGCGGCACCGCCCCTTCCAAAATGGCGCCGGTGGAGTCACCCGCCCCTCTCTCAGCAGGATGTCGAGTGCCACCGTGTCCCCGAGGTCCCCCTTTCTCCTGTCGGGATAGAAAGGATCCGGAGGCGTGTGCAGGCACAAGGGACTCGTCCAACTGGGATTTGCCTCCAGCCCATGGTAAGATGGATTTTCAGGGTCCAACGGGTCACGGGCCAGCTCTCCTGCTGGAGTTTTTGGGTGCTGGATTGGAACCCAAAGAGCAACCCTAAAGTCAGGTCTGTTCTGGAGTGTGTTCCACCTGTGCAAAGCTCCTTCCCTCTGTTTCTTTTCTGTTCTGGAAAGCACAGTCTGGGGGTCCCGGGCACTTCCTATGAAATGCTGCCACGGAAATCATTTTGTACTGAGAGGGGAAAGGAGCTGTCTGTGGGAGGTCAGATGTCCACGAAAAAAGCTCGATGTTTTTTCAGTCAGTGAGCTCTTAAAATCTCTTAGTGAATGGGAATGCCTGGCTTCTAAAACTCACCAGCTGAGTCTGAGAGGTTTCTTTGCAGAGCTGTTTTCAGGCAGCAGAATTGGCCCCCAGGAGGGACTCTGTGCCTGCTCTCCCGTGGCTCCAAGGGATCTCTGGGCCTTCACGCCGGCACTGAGATTTCCTTGGGAAGGGCCTCAGATCCCCAGACCGGTCTGGGACACAGGCAAGATCCCCCTGCCTTTGTAAATAAGGCCTTCTTGTGGCTTCCTCCCCATCCCCGTTGGGTGGGGTATTATTTGGTGTTTGGGATCTTAATCTGGGAGTCCAGACTTGGAGGTTTCTTTGGGAACAGGTCTTTGGTTTCCTTTGTGTTCTGGGTCCTTGAGGTTCCAAAGAAGGACTCTTGAAATGCCTTTTGGGCTGTCCATTGAAGCCTTGGGACCAAATTGGGCCCCTGTAGGGACAGTGCTGTTGGTGCCCCCCAGGCTGGGGCACCCCGAGGACTCCACACCAAAAGGATTATTCGGGGAGATCCTCTGGGTGCCCAGCCCTGGGGAGTTCAAAGCAAGGTCCCTACAGTGGATTCAGGCATTGCTGAGAGTATCCCAGGGGTCCCTGTCCCTGCTAGACATGGAGCTCTCTAATGGGCTGGAATTGGGTGCTAAAAGTGGTGCTCCAAGTGCCAAGAAGTGTGGGATTGGGATTAAGAAATGAGCAGTGATGGTCCAATTGGCTGTTTTCTCTGGAATGTAATTGTGAGAGCTCCAGGAGTGCAAGGTGTGTGTTCCAGTCCCCAGCATTTGGTTTGCACATGTCCTGGTCAGACACAGGTCCAACAAGGGCAGGTGATGGTCCCAGCTACAGTTATGGGAAAAATAGTTCAATGAGAGCCACAAAAGCTGGAAATCATCCTGGAGGCTCTTGGCAAACCAAGTTTCCTGAGTTACTCCTGGAAGAAGGATAGTGAGAACCTT